ATTGCCGTCACCCCTACCACCACCGCCTCCGCCCAACTCCTACCACAATCACCACTACTGTCACCGTCATCACTCCACCACCACCTCTGCCATAACCACCATAACTGTCGTCGTCGCCGCCACCGCTAACAGCACCCCCACCACTATCATCGTTGTCCNCGTCACTCCACCACCACCTCTGTCATAACCACCATAACTGTCGTCGTCGCCGCCACCGCTAACGGCACCCCCACCACTATCATCGTTGTCCCCCCACCACCATTTCTACCACCATCACCGCCACCGCCACCACCCATCGCTCACCATCATTGTTGTCACCCACCACCAATTGCGACCACCGTCGCCCACAGCCACCACCATCATCATCTCATTCTTATATTTATCACTACTACCACCATTATCCCACCATCACCACCCACCACCATAACCCACTACTACCCACCACCATCACTCATTGCCACCACTCATTGCCACCCACTTCCATAACTCACCACCACCCGTTGCATACTGCCACCCATCATCGTCGTAGCTCCACCACCGTCACTACCCCACCACCACCACCACTACCAACCACCATCATCGTTGCCCAGCTCCATCACTATTGCCACCCACGATTGCCACCACCATCACAGTCGTTGCCACTCACCACCACCATCACCATCTTTCACCACCACCACTCTCGTCTACCACCACTACCACCACTCACCCTCACTAAAATCGGTGCTTAAATTCTTTTCTTTATCCTCTATTTTTGTAATTTAATTTTGAATGTAAATACAAATATATTTATTGTTGACAATTTTTATTACTCTGTGCCTTTAGACACAGAAAATAACTAGCATATAAAATAAAGTACAATACAATTCAAATTTTAAAAAATAAATAAAATAACTTTTAGTTTTCTTAGTTAAGATCTCTTTAAATTTTACTNATAAATATATTTATTGTTGACAATTTTTATTACTCTGTACCTTTAGACACAGAAAATAACTAGCATATAAAATAAAGTACAATACAATTCAAATTTTTAAAAATAAATAAAATAACTTTTAGTTTTCTTAGTTAAGATCTCTTTAAATTTTACTTTAAAATTAATCCAATGACTAATATTAACACCATAAATTTAATAAATAAAATAAACCCTNCTTTAAAATTAATCCAATGACTAATATTAACACCATAAATTTAATAAATAAAATAAACCCTTCAGGGTATATGTTGGAGTGACTTTTTAAAAGTTTTTTTATTTTTTTTAAAAAAAACTTATAACTTCTCATAAATATTTTTTTTTTTAAAAAGTAGTGTTTAAATTGCCCCACCACCATCACCATTATCGTCATCGCCTCCACCACTGCCACCACTACCCCCCACCGCCCCCACCACCATCGTCGCCACCCCACCACCACCTCTGCCAGAAAAACCACCACCACCCCACCACAATCGCCGCCACCATTATTGTCACCACCCTACCACCACCACTGTTGCCGCCACCCTACCATTACCGTCATTATCCCACCATCACCTCTACCATCACCAATAACACCATCAGCGCCATCCCTGCCCCCCACTGCCACCCCCCATCGCCCCCACACTACACCCAATGTCACCCCCACCACCATCGCCACCCACCACGGATTGCTACCACCATCGTTCACCTCCACCACCATTACCATCGTCATTTTATTCTTATATTTATTATCACTACCACCATCCTACTACTACCATTAACACCAATCACCACCATTGTTGCCAACCACTACCTACCGCCACCCATTACCACAACCCACCACCACTGGTTGTCACCCACCACCGTCGTCAACCATTGTCATCCACCCCACCACACTTATCACAACCAACCGTCACTACCTGTCATCGCCCACCATTGTCGCCACCCACTATCACCCAACCCCCCCACACTTACCACCATCACCACCGTCATTCGCCACCACCAATCATATTGTTGTCCATGAACACACGTCGTCGCCCACCACTACCATCGTCACCGCCCACCACCAACCACACTCATCCACCAACCACCACCATCACACATGGTTGCCACTACCACTATCACCGTTGTCACCCACGGTTACCACTATTACCACAATTGTCACCACGTACCATAACCATCACCCACAGCCGCCCACCACCACTACGACCATTCACCCCTACTATAATCAGTGCTTAAATTTTTTTTTTCTCCTCTATGTTTTTAATTTAATTTTAGTTATAAATACAAATATATTTATTATTGACTATTTTTTTATTACTTCATGCCTTCAGGCACGGGTAATAATTAGTACATATATATATATATATATATAGAGAGAGAGAGAGAAAGAGAGAGCCTTTTGTTTACCTCCGTTAAAATGTGCTCCTCACGTGACTATATGACACAAAAAGATAAATTTCTCAATTAACACAATTAGAGAGTTTAGCGCCTCAATTAATACAATTAGAGAGTTCATGCACTCNACCAATCATATTGTTGTCCATGAACACACGTCGTCGCCCACCACTACCATCGTCACCGCCCACCACCAACCACACTCATCCACCAACCACCACCATCACACATGGCTGCCACTACCACCATGACCGTTGTCACCCACGGTTACCACTATTACCACAGTCGTCACCACGTACCATAACCATCACCCACTGCCGCCCACCACCACTACGACCATTTACCCCTACTATAATCAGTGCTTAAATTTTTTTTCTCTCCTCTATGTTTTTAATTTAATTTTAGTTATAAATACAAATATATTTATTAATGACTATTTTTTTATTACTTCATGCCTTCAGGCACGGGTAATAATTAGTACATATATATATATATATATATATATAGAGAGAGAGAGAGAGAGCCTTTTTGTTTACCTCCGTTAAAATGTGCTCCTCACGTGACTATATGACACAAAAAGACAAAATGGCTCAATTGACACAATTAGAGAGTTTAGCGCCTCAATTAATACAATTAGAGAGTTCATGCACTCAATTGACACAAAAATAATTCCTAAACTTAATTGACATAAGAATTATAGTTTAAAGGTCATATGTATAGATTACTCCAACTATTTGTGTCATGTGAGTGACACACTTTGCCACTTTTCTAACAGAAACAAACAGAAGAGCTCAATTGACACACAAAAAAAAAAGTTCAGGAGTCTAATTGACACAATGGTCATAGTTTGAGGACCATATGTATAATTTTACTATATATATACATATAGACACACATCCAGACATATGGAGAGAGAGAGAGAGAGAGAGCATCTTTTTTCATTTGTACATTGAAGTATTAAAAATGGAATTAAGTCACTTTCATATNTCATAGTTTGAAGACCATATGTATAATTTTACTATATATATACATATACACACACATCCAGACATATGGAGAGAGAGAGAGAGAGAGAGAGAGAATCTTTTTTCATTTGTACATTGAAGTATTAAAAATGGAATTAAGTCACTTTCATACGCCAAAATTATTTGTGTGTGCATTGTTAGAACAAGTTTAAAAAAAAAATCAGATTTAACAAAGTTGATCACCCACCTTTAATTCTTCAAAGTCCTCACAACTAGAAGGTCAAATATCAATTCTTGTAAAGCAATAATTGGTTTCTCATGTCTCATTCTTTACTAGTCTTTTTCTTCATCTTTTTTTAGTCCTACTAATCTTATAAAATTCGGGTCCAACCAATGCACATATTTGGTGAATAATTACATGTATCCGATATTTATATTATATTCATCACTTTAAAGTTTTCTATTATTAGAAAATTAGTTCAAAGTTTTCTATTATTAAAAAAAAGAGTAATATTGTTGCAATCTAAAAACTTGACCTAATTTACTCATCTAAAGATGTGACAATAACATGATCCAATCATGTTGTTATAACTATAATTGTTAGACTTCTTCATTGAGACTCTATTACTTGATATATCATCATGTTAACAAATTATGTCAGTTTTTGCATGGTCAAATAACAAATGTTATTAAGATCTGAAAAACTGACTAAATAATTGACAGTGATGTGGTTCAATAACGTTGATGTGACTGTAACTTTTGGACTTCTTCATTAGAATTTCATTACCCATCATTATATCAACAAATTTGATCAGTTTTTCAGGTCCAATAACATTACTCTTAAAAAACCACAAATGGCTCTTTCTACATAACTTTACACACCAATGAAAATGACTTGCAGAAACACCACCAATAACAACTTCGGGTTTCTGGTGTCATACAACTATANTTAACAAATTATGTCAGTTTTTGCATGGTCAAATAACAAATGTTATTAAGATCTAAAAAACTGACTAAATAATTGACAGTGATGTGGTTCAATAACGTTGATGTGACTGTAACTTTTGGACTTCTTCATTGGAATTTCATTACCCATCATTATATCAACAAATTAGATCAGTTTTTCAGGTCCAATAACATTACTCTTAAAAAAACCACAAATGGCTCTTTCTACATAACTTTACACACCAATGAAAAAGACTTGCAGAAACACCACCAATAACAACTTCGGGTTTCTGGTGTCATACAACTATATCTTAGTAGTCATACAGTTTGGACGCCGAATAGAATAAGTCTATCATTGTTTCTAACACCACCAATTGGCAATAACTTGTTATAGCCGGCCACATTGTCCCCATATATTTACAACCACCTTACCTTCTTCCCCACTTTCTCTAACTTCTTCGTGGGTTTTGGTTTTCCTTCAGAACCCATNCCTTGTTTCTAACACCACCAATTGGCAATAGCTTGTTATAGCCGGCCACATTGCCCCCATATATTTACAACCACCTTACCTTCTTCCCCACTTTCTCTAACTTCTTCGTGGGTTTTGGTTTTCCTTCAGAACCCATCAAGAAAAAAGCACGAGGAATCAAAACAATCACTGAAATTATAGTAGGAAACCTCAACAACTCATCTGAAACACAGAAAAAAGAGAGAAGAGAGTACAAGAAAACTAGCCTGCAATAAAGATGGACAGGCTGATAAGCTTAGAGCCATCGAACGTCGTAGCAATCAGGATTGAACCTGGACACAAGTGCTCGGGCGAGCTTACTTTGCGTAATGTAATGTACACCATGCCGGTGGCTTTCCGGCTTCAACCGGTGAACAAGACTCGTTACACCGTTCGACCACAATCTGGGATCATATCTCCTCTTATGACCCTCACTGTCGAGATTACTTATAATCTTCTTCCCAATTCGAATCTCCCCGAATCATTCCCTTACTCTGATGACTCATTCCTCCTACACAGTGTTGTGGTTCCAGGTGCAGCAGTTAAAGATCCTTCATCGACGTTTGATTCTGTCCCTATTGACTGGTTTACTACAAAGAAGAAGCAAGTATTCATTGATAGTGGCATCAAAATCATGTTTGTGGGCTCTCCGGTGTTGGCTCAACTCGTTGCCAGTGGATCCATGGAAGAAATCAGAGAAGTGCTCGAGAAGAGTGACCCGGCGTGGAAGCCAGCCGATGCTGTTGGTGCCGATGGTCAAACATTACTTCACTTGGCAGTTTCTCAAAGTCGGCCTGATCTTGTCCAGTTGTTTCTTGAATTTGAACCAGACGTGGAGGCTCAGAGCCAATCAGGGTCTAGCCCTCTTGAGGCAGCGGCAGCGGCAGGTGAAGCACTGATCGTGGAGCTCTTGTTGGCTAATCGAGCCAGCACAGAGCGATCAGAGTCCTCCACTTGGGGGCCGATTCACCTCGCCGCCGGTGGTGGTCATATGGAGGTTCTGAGGCTTCTTTTACGGAAAGGTGCTGATGTGAACTCAGTCACAAAAGATGGAAACACAGCTCTACATCTTGCAGTCGAAGAGAGAAGAAGGGACTGCGCGAGGCTCTTGTTGGCCAGTGGCGCAAGAGCTGCTGTTCGTAACTCCGGCAACGGCAACACCCCATTACATATTGCCGCTGCCTTGGGTGACGAGCACATGGTGAAACTTTTACTGCAAAAAGGAGCTAACAAAGATATCAGAAACCGATTTGGGAAAACAGCTTACGATGTTGCAGCAGAGCATGGCCACGCTAAACTCTCTGATGCACTTCGCCTTGGGGACAGCCTCTGCGTGGCAGCTCGGAAAGGGGAGGTAAGAACAATTAATAAGCTTCTTGAAAATGGAGCGGCCATTAATGGCCGCGACCTCCATGGATGGACAGCACTGCACCGAGCTTCATTTAAGGGACGAGTTGATGCAGTCCGAACTCTGATTGAGAAGGGTGTTGATGTTGATGGTAGAGATGAGGATGGCTACACTGCCTTGCACTGTGCAGTGGAGTCTGGCCATGCGGATGTGACCGAATTGCTGGTGAAGAAGGGGGCTGAGGTGGAGGTGAGAACCAACAAGGGTGTTACTGCTCTGCAGATTGCGGAGTCACTGAACTACTCAGGGATCACGAGAATACTGGTCCATGGTGGTGCCTCCAGAGATGGAGCTTCACAGATCACTGCAACAAAAATGGAGTCGCCATCATATAAAAAAGGAATGGGGACTAGAGAGATGGAAAGGGAAGCAACCAAGAAGAAGCCTAACCGACCAAGAGTCCTTCGTAGCAGCTTTGATCGATCTTCGCCATTGGCAGTCATCTAGTTATTGTGAAACATATGTGAGTTTTTTTTCTTCTTTCGTGACAGTGTTCAAACTATTTCTTTTTTGGGTGAAATTTGTGGAAGTTGTAGACTCAAAACTGTTCTTTTGTTCATTATTATGTAAAACCCAAATAGAAATTGTTCTTGCAACATCCTTTTTTTTTGGCATCATTCTTGTAAGATCTCAAACCCTGAAAATCAATGTAATTCTAGAATTCCTATCTAATGACCCTGTAAGATGATCTCCATTTCCTTCTAGGGCAGATCAAGTTTTCCTTGTAAGAGCATCTCCACCAACAAAATGCATTTTACCTACTCAAAAAGCAATATTTTCTATTTTAGCTACTCACTTTTTCAATACACACTCCAATAGATTTCTATATTTTTAACTACTCTTTTTAAATATTTTTTCTCATTCCTTTTGTATTATTTTTTTTGAGAATAGTGAAAAGGAGAAAGAGAGANATAGATTTCTATATTTTTAACTACTCTTTTTAAATATTATTTCTCATTCCTTTTGTATTATTTTTTTTGAGAATAGTGAAAAGGAGAAAGAGAGAGAATGGAAGAAAGGAGAGGAAGAGAGAGAAAATAATATAAATTATCTTTACAAGTTGCTACAGTGATACTCTATATTTAGAATATGTGAACATAATCTGTTCGAGCATGATCTTTAGCTTTGATTAGCTAAAGTTTAGCTATTTTACTCATTTGAAGCATCTGTTGGAGATGCTCTAAAATATGTCAATGAAATTGAATTCAAAGAAAAAGCTGTAGCCACTGCACTTTTCAAGCCCATAGAACTGGATCAGGAGGCCATCCAGTCCAAATTTTGACGGTTTTGATTAAGTTTAATTATATCATGGTTAAACTAGATGAAAATACAAAATTTGAGAGAATCCATTCATCATAGAACATAAAAAGATTCTGAAATTTTTAAGGCTGAATAGTCTCTTTCTACATATAGGTATATATTTTTTGGTTTGCTAAGCTGAAGAAAACTATAAGATTAATGACCACTAAATTACTGAATGTATTGACCTAAACTGTCGACTTAAGACAATCGGTCATACCAAACATTAGATTGGTTTCAATGTCAATCTAACAGTAGCAGGGACAAAGACAGGATTATTTTATGAGGGGGGGCAAATAGTGACATAATAGGAAATTTTCTTTTTAATGGAGGATTATTCGATGAGCTATCATTATGTTAAATTCTTAATTGTATAGAATTTACTAAAATCAACTTTTATACAATACATTATAGAATTATTTATTTTGGTAAAATTAATTCAAACTTGTCAAGATTAGATGTAACGTAATTTGAGATCAATTCATCAAACAATCAACTATTTAAGCTAATGTTTTTATCTCATAATCACTCGAGGAAAATTAAATTTCATCATTTCTCTACATATTACGAAAAAGTTGAACAAATGTTTTCAAATCAATAGTCAATGCATAAAAGAAAATCAAGATCGAATTGTAAAGGTATGAAGTATAAATTTAAAACTAGAGGGGCCATGTAAAATGAAAATAAAGCACCATTTTAGAGGTATAAAGCTTATTTTGAAAACTTGAGGGGGGTAAACATAATTTTTTAGGGTTAAAGCATAATTTTAGAAACTTGAGGGGGGCCATGGCAACGTCAATGAACAGTAGAAATTAACAAATTAAGTTAGACAATTATGTAAAATAGCATTATTGATACTGTGGAGTTGGTTTCTTACTAAGGTACTATATGTCAACACTTTAAATTCACCTAACTTGTATTTTAAGAAGAAAAAAAATGTCAAATCTTTTTCAAGTTTTTTAACTTCTTCCTATTGGATTATATTAGTTGTTGTAAAATNCAATATGTCAACACTTTAAATTCGCCTAACTTGTATTTTTAGAAGAAAAAAAATGTCATATCTTTTTCAAGTTTTTTAACTTCTTCCTATTGGATTATATTAGTTGTTGTAAAATTACATATTTGTTCAATTAAATTATAGTACGATGTGGATCAACTAAAATTTTAATTTGTGGGATAACTATGTGTTGTGAGTTATTGAGAGGCATTTGAACCCAAAAGACAAATAAAAGTAAAGGGTTCACATTAAAAGTAGTGATACTTTAAAGGGACTACCTTGATAATATCTAAACTAACACTTAGTTATAAAGCCAAAGACAAAATTAAAAATCCTATATGGGCCCATGACCCCATAGTTTGACTCATGATTCCAAACTAAATCTCAGATGCACGCAATCACCTGCAAACCAGGTGCATCTATTGATTTATGCCGCCAAAAGACTCGAACTTAGGACATGTGGATTTAAGTCTCTCCCCTTGTTTGACCATTAGATCAATTCATGTGGATTCCCCTTTACAAATATCTACTATGTCAAATTGGGATGTTGTTTCTCAAGGTCTGGTGAAAAATATGTAGGAAAAGTGGAAAGCATTTGTTGTCATAGACGATGATGTTGTTATGAGAAGAAGTCAAAGTGATTTGATAATGGTGAATGCTGCATAATCAAGATAGGCATGATGGGCATAAAGGGTGGAGCTTGGGGACTCTGACGTTAGTTCTATACTCGGAAGAACTGGAACGCCAGATCCAAATTGTCATGTGTCAATGTGCATAGTACCACAGAATTGGACAGAATAGTTGGCCTATATAGAGGGAGATGAATGCATGAGATCTTGTCCCATGAGATCTAAGAAGAATTAGGGTGTCAGATGAACGTAGCTTTACCCTCATGCGCCCATAAACTTTTTTCTAGCCCAAAGTGTTTGACGCCCAGATTACAATAGAGCAAAAGTAGAGTTTAATAGTCCGGCTATGTACTGAATCTAAGAAGAATATCATTATAGAGGAATAAAAATAAAAAGAGCTTCAATCCAAATTATGGACCTGATGAGTGATACGGGATTTTCTATCAACCACACTCACCCTTGAGTTTGTCTAGTTTTGATTCTAAAAAGGCCAATACCAGAAGAGTTATCCATAGTTGTCCCAGCAAGAGGTGCTTACGAGCCGAGCTTGACAAGCCTTGGTGTGCTGGTTCCTATTGTAGAAGGGGTGGATTTGGCTCGGGCTCGGATATGAAGCTTAAATTTTTGATTTAGACTCGGCTCGTTGAGAAAACAAACATTTCATTCAGGCTGCATCGTCCACGCTCATTTTTTAGTGCGAGCTTGAAACCGAGCTCAAACTCAGATATAACAATGATAACTAAGTTAAGGGGATCAAGCACAAAACAATCAGATCCAAACCAACCAAACAGTAACACACAATCACAGAACATATAAACTCAGAAACTAAAACCCCCAATTTTAATTCTTCAATCAAAGATATAACAATGTTAATACCCAAATCCAGAAGACTTACATGACCCACGTAGTAACTTCTGCGTCTTCAAGCTCTATACACAGAAATCAAATTTCTGACTCCCCCAACCACAACATGCGACATGTACACTCCGCCTGATGCATTGGATTCTAACAGCTTGCTGCTGGATTCATTTAAATCTTCCTCGATTAAGAGTTGCTTCTAATCATAACTTCCCATCCCTAATGGCGNAGTAACTTCTGCGTCTTCAAGCTCTATACACAGAAATCAAATTTCTGACTCCCCCAACCACAACATGCGTCATGTACACTCCGCCTGATGCATTGGATTCTAACAGCTTGCTGCTGGATTCATTTAAATCTTCCTCGATTAAGAGTTGCTTCTAATCATAACTTCCCATCCCTAATGGCGAAACCCTTAAACAGACAGACCATGGCAAACTTTCTAGGCACCACAACCGCAAACCTCTTGTCCATGGCTTTGCACAGAGAGAGAGGGGAGGAGAGTGTTCTACTTCTGAAAGCCGAAGGATTAGTGGGCCCGTTCCGTTTTTGGGTTTGTTGGGTTGGGCTGGGGATTGGGTGCCCGTCGGTGTTCTTCTTGGGGCAGATGGGGAGGGGCTTGCTCAGGGTCTACTCGTTTTCAAAATTAGAGTGATTTAGGTGATGTTTGTTAATCTAAATTTAGTATTTAAAATAAATGTATTTAATATTTAAATAATTAATTAGATTTAGCTCGTATTACAATAAAAAGGGTTTTTTTTGTTTACCCACAAGATTTTTTTTTTCTGNTTGTTGGGTTGGGCTGGGGATTGGGTGCCCGTCGGTGTTTTTCTTGGGGCAGATGGGGAGGGGCTAGCTCAGGGTCTACTCGTTTTCAAAATTAGAGTGATTTAGGTGATGTTTGTTAATCTAAATTTAGTATTTAAAATAAATGTATTTAATATTTAAATAATTAATTAGATTTAGCTCGTATTACAATAAAAAGGGTTTTTTTTGTTTACCCACAAGATTTTTTTTTTCTGGTTAGATGGTTACGATGAGATTCAAACCAAAGACTTTAAGATCCAACAAGAATGATAGTCATTAAGTGAACCACTAACCTCAATTTACACACAATATGAACAAGCTTGAATGAGTTGAGTAACAACCATAGTGCCAGCCATTCAACCTTGGCCTAAAGTTGTTCNAAAAGGGTTTTTTTGGTTTACCCACAAGATTTTTTTTTTCTGGTTAGATATTATTGCACGAATGGTTACGACGAGATTCAAACCAAAGACCTTAAGATCCAACAAGAATGATAGTCATTAAGTGAACCACTAACCTCAATTTACACACAATATGAACAAGCTTGAATGAGTTGAGTAACAACCATAGTGCCAGCCATTCAACCTTGGCCTAAAGTTGTTCCCTCTCACAAATACAGGCCGGGCCGGGTCATGGTCTTTTGGGTCTAGGTAGGTTTGAACTTAAAATTCATTTTAGGGTAAATTATAAGAGGTACACCAAATTAGACTTATTTGACAAAAAATACACACTAAAAAATATAGGGCTATTAAGTCTTTAATTTTGATATTTCTTTGTATCTAAGTACACAATTTGAATTTGCCTAATTTTTTTGTGATATTTTTATCCTCCATTGATCCTTGTGTATGTTCTTTGGAAAGTTGTGTATTAAATATCTCATAATTTTATAGGAGAATTTTAGTATTTAATGCACCNCTCTCTCACAAATACAGGTCGGGCCGGGTCATGGTCTTTTGGGTCTAGGTAGGTTTGAACTTAAAATTCATTTTAGAGTAAATTGTAAGATGTACATCAAATTAGACTTATTTGATAAAAAATACACACTAAAAAATATAAGGCTATTAAGTCTTTAATTTTGATATTTCTTTGTATCTTGAATTTGCCTAATTTTTTTGTGATATTTTTATCCTCCATTGATCCATGTGTATGTTCTTTGGATAGTTGTGTATTAAATATCTCATAATTTTATAGGAGAATTTTAGT